GGTGGAAGGGGTGGCGGCGAATTATGTGTTGGTGCTTTTTGTTAATTGGAAGTGTTGATGGGTTTTCTCTTGAGACAGCCACGTGGACTTCGTCGCCACCGAAGAAGCGCACAGCATATCTGACCGGAAGGGAAAGTATCTGGACCGGATCGCCGACCAGATGCAGTTCTGACGGAACACGTATATAGCCGCGATGGGTGCTGATGGGCCGGCCGGGATGGGCGGCATAACTTAACGGTCTCCGTTAAGTACAGGCGCGGTAACGGAATGGTGATGACCGACAGAGTCGATGGAGACCAGACTGGCTCTGCAGCCTTCCACCGAACATAACGCACCGAGATAATGAATGCTGCATACAATCCATATTTCCGGTCAGATACAGCCTTAATGAGGATGTGCACTGTGCTCAGGGGAAGACGGGTAAAAAGAGGCTGTGGAGGGGGTGTCGTGTGGATGTTAGACATCGAGAGATTCTCTCGCTACCGTCTTCCCCGAACATAACGCACCCTAAAAATGAATGTATACAAGCTATATTTCCAGTTCGGTACAGCCGTAATCAGGGTGCGTTGTGTTCGGGGGAAGACGGTAGTGGGATCAACGATGGCGGCGGCGCGGTTACGGCGGTGGTGATGGCGGGAAGCACTGGGGAGATGATCGAGTTGTGCGATGGCTCGGCGTTCGGGGTGTCACCAAGATCATTGCGGCGGCGGTGATGGCGGGAAGCAGCGGGGAGATGGCGGGAAGCAGTGGGGAGATGATCGGGTTGTGCGGTGGCTCGGCGTTCGGGGGGGTGTCATTAAGATCATTGCGGCGGCGGTGATGGCGGGAAGCACTGAGGAGATGGCGGGAAGCACTGGGGAGATGGCGGGAAGCACTGGGGAGATAACGGCGTCAGAATGGAATAAAAGTGAGATGTTAGTTAAGGAAAGGGGGGATGAGTTTGCGGAAGGAGCGGAGGAGAGGAGAAGAGAGGAGAGGAGAGGAGAGGAGAGGAGAGGAGGGAAGCTGCTCGAGAGAGGGATCGCTTAACGAAGGCCCGTATGAGGCGGGGTAAGAAAGGGGAAAGTTTTTCGTTCCAAATTATGGAAGTCTTAATTAGAGAGATATTGCAGGTGCATTCCAAAAGGGATGTTTACGGATCACTTAAAGACAGGAGAGGGCACGGGTTTGGCGAGGGAGAAGGGGGAGGAGGGGGAGGAGGAGGGGGGGGTCAATCCTAATCCCAATTAAACTAGTCGCAGTCAGTATGTCAACGGATCAATCAATCACTCAGTCCAGTCATGATACGACCAATCATCTAGCACGCACTTGTTCAGGAATCAAGGGGTGTCCCCCGCATTTAAGGAGGAAATGGCGGGAAGGAAGAAATGGCGGGAAGGAATGCGTTTAGATAGCGTGGGGAGACGATGATCAGGAGCGACTCAGTGGGTTTGACTCAGTGGGTTTGCTTCTGCTGCAGACACTCTTGTACATCTCGGATCGGTGAATCACTCAGTCATTCAAGTCTTACGGAGAGAGAGAGAGAGAGAGAGAGAGAGAGAGAGAGAGAGAGAGAGAGAGAGAGAGAGAGAGAGAAGAGGACCGGTGCGGGATGGCGGCGGTCAAATTGAAATGAGAGAGAGATGGCCGGCGATCAGAAGGAGATCGGTCGCGCCATATCTTTGTTTTTGTCGTCTTGTTCCTGTTTCCCCTCCTATTCCTCCTCGACCTGCTTGTCCGTCTTCTTCTCCTTCCTCTCCCTCTGGCTTCTCCTTGCCGCCCTTCTTCATCATCACCATCCTCTCCCTCTTCTCCTTGCTGCCCTTCTTCCTTCTTCATCATCATTATCTTCTTCTTCTTCTTCTTCGTCTTCCTCAACGTTCTTCTTTTTCTTCTCTTCTTCTTTTTTCCCTCCGACGGCTTTTCCCTTCTTCTTCATCTCTGCTTCTATACATGCATCATCCTCGCTGCATTTTTTTTTTTTTTTTTTTTTTAATGGCGTGGCCTGCCCTGAGATATTGTTGTGCTGTTAGAAAAAAAGGAAAAGACGGAAAGAAAGAAAAAAAAAGGATTACTCCGCTGTTCCATGTGCTTTATCCTTCGTCTTTTTCTCGTTTCGATTGCCTCGTCTGCTTTTTTTTTTTTTTTTTTTTTTTTTTTTTTTTACGTTGGAAGTTTGCTTTCTTGCCCCCTTTTTGGTTTATACGTATAGTTTTTTTTTGTTTTGTTTTGTTTTTACGTTGGAAGTTTGCGTTCTTGCCCCCTTTTTGGTTGATACGTATAGTTTTTCTTGGTACACATGGAAATTCGATCCGGAGCAGCATAGATAGAGTCCAAGAAAGATGGGAAAAAGAAAAAGAAAAACGATAGGAAAAAGGAAAAAAAGAACATAGGAACGTAGACGCGATCATGGGAAAAAGGAAAAAGGATGGGAAAAAGGAAAAAGGATGGGAAAAGGAAAAAAAAAGAACGAAAAAAAAAGAATAACAGAGAGCGCAAGGTGGCGCTGGAGGGGGCGGGTTGGTCACCGTGCTTGCTGTTCCAGGGCCAAGTCCCACTACTGTCTTAACCCAAAAAAAACGTAGGTATGCTCTATATGCAAACTCGCCTTGAGAAAACGGGTTCTCAGAAATCGCTGATTTTTTTGCGAATAGAACGGACTGTCGAATATAACGTACGTACGTTGTCTTCGAATACAACCTACTTACGTTGTATTCAAACTTTAGCAAATTTCAAATTCTCAAGAAACGCAGAAAAATTTCCGAAAAGAAAAAGGTTCTCAAACATCACAATACAAACAACTTTTGCCTGAGGGCCATATCGAAATTCACGACCAAAAAAAAATAAAAAAAATCACAACCAAATTTAAGGAAAAAAAAAAAAGTCTCCTTTGACGTGTTCTCTGGGGCCATGTCCCACTAGCAGGGTTGCGCAACCTCAACGCTGAGCATTCAATCACACGTGACAGGGTGCAACCTCTGAGATGCGAGATGTCCCTGCGAATCTAGCGGTGGATTCAAGGAAAGGAAATTTAATTTCCTTTTCTTGTTTATTTTATTATTAGAAACCAGAGTAAAAACAAAAATGCCTTTTTCTCAAATAGAACGCCCCCTACCCGAGCGCCCTTCCGTTGACCTAGCTCTTATTTTTTTCTCTTTGTAGCCAGCTCAACTATGATTGATTTCTCATGGAACGACAACTTTTATTCACATTGAGATAATGAGCCTGGCTTCTGATGTATCATAGTACCGTACTGTCCCAAGCCCAATTCTGAAAACGGAGCAACGAGGTCCAAGCCCAATTCTGAAAACGGAGCAACGAGGCGATCGTCCAGCCAACAGGTAGGACTTTCACACAGGCGTTGTTGAATTGGGCGGCGTTTAGGGGATAGGTGCGGTGCATTGAAGAGGAAGTTCTTATCCTGACGCCGTCTTGTTTTCCTGATTGTGACCCTCCTGCGTGGTCATGTGGGGGGGGGGGGGAAAWRAAAAAAAAAAAAAAATGATAAAAAGAGAACGTCCGGACATTAAGAAATAGCTTTCTTCATTTCTGATGAATTAAAAAATGCTTGAAAAACTGTCACACCGTTGAGCTAGCTCAACTCAACGGTGCAAGTGGGACATGGCCCCTGATTTCTTAAGAAGTTTGAATTTTCAAACGTACCCAAAAAATGCGAAAAAAAATTATGTTGTATAAAATTTCAATACAAAACTTTTGCCTGAGGGTCTTGGAGAAATTCCAAACCAAATTCGAGAAAAAAATATAAAAACGACGTCGTCTCCTACAAAGTTGCACCCTAAAACTCGGTCTATAACGTATGTACGTTGTATTCGAATACGACGTGGCCCGTATATGTATGCATGCTTTTTTCGAGTTACGACAGTAGCAGCGTTGAGTTTCTTCAACGCCTAACGCCTGAATCTGGACATGTTTGTGGAGAAGTGCGGTTGAGGAAACTCGATGCCATTTTTGCACATCTCCACAAACACGACCTGCTAGTGGGACTTGGCTCCCAGAGAGAGGGACTCGTCCGTACAGTTGCCGATCCAATTGAGAAATTATGTATATGAATATAAATCGTCATATATCGTCACAAGCATATCAGAGCGCAAAAGCGAAAAAAAGGAAAAAGAAAGAAGGATAACAGGAAAAGATGAATTCATGATTTAATCTTCTTCCTTATAACTCCCCCTGTTCAGAACCTCTTGCATACAAGGCCGCCCACGTGGATGTAGGTTGAGCGGCGGCTGCCCCCACCCCCGTGTGTCGTATCGACCCACTTGCACACAGCCAGAAGGCAAAGAGGCAAAGAAAAGAGGAAGGGAACAGCCAAATAATACAGAACAGGGGGCAACAAAACAGATCCCAGATGACAAGTCCCACATGCAAGCACCGCCCCTGTCCACAGGCCAAACGACGGGACAAAACCAACCAGAATGTCAAAACATTCTTGTCTGCAAAAAAAATTGAAAAGAACCCAGGAAACCGGTATAAAAGACGGACCCGGACGACGATTCCCACATACAAGCGCCGCCCTGCGTTCCAAAAGGCCGAACAACGGGAAACAACCAACCAGGATGCCAAGACGATAAAAAACCCCGGATGACTGATCCCACATGAAGCACCGCTACTTGCTTAGACCGAATAACGGGACAAAACCAACCGGGATGCAGACAAGATTACCACAACAAATCTACCATAACCATAGTAAAAAAAACGGAACCAGAAAATGTGGGATGACAGGACGATGATTCAGGCTATTTTCGACGCAAATGAATTCTTACGCGCGCTGTCAAGAAAGAAAACACAATAAAGCCCTCAACACCACCGACAGATATGCAATTGAAAAACACAATAAGCTCCGATCCAGTGTGACAAAATCTGCGAATACGACAACAATACATCCCAAGGCAAAACCAGACCCCGGATGATTGGTCCCACATGAAAGCACTGCCATGCCAAATAGACCGAACAACAGGACAAAACCATCCCGGAAAACACGAAAGACTGACAATCCCGGATGTCATTTCCTACATAGTATAAGCACCGCCCCTGCACCATAGGCCGAACAACCGGAAACAACCAACCAGGATGCCAAAACAATAACCGAAACAAAATCTGCCATATCCATAGTAAAAAAACGGAACCATACAGTAGGTCCGCAAAACGGAGTACCCCAACCACAGGGAAAAATAAGCAGTAAAGAGAGAATCAAAATTATTTCAAACCATAAGCAAAGAAGAGCCTGCTAGTACAGGCCCGACGCGCGCCGCATCATCTGCAAAAGCAGAGAGCTAGCAACGCCGGAGCATATATCATCATATATATATATATACAGGTTAACTGGCGTTCGGGATGGACCGAACGCCCGAACGTATGGGACCCCTTGGGGATGTGTGCGGCCGTTCGGGCCGAACGCGGACCCAAAAAAAAAAAAAAAAAAAAAAAAGTTGAAAAAATCTGAAAAAAGATACGTTATGAAGAAAAATAAATTAAACAAGATTTGCCTGAGCATTACATCCAAATTCCTTACCAAATTTGAAATAAAAATAAAATATGAAAAACAAATACTAATAATAAAAATAACAAAAAATAAAACAAGAATTAAATTTAGTGAGTGCGCGAGCACGTTTTCGACATCGCCATCTTTGGCGAATTTTCATTTTTTTTTTGGCATAGCTAAATGTCCTGAAAATTTACAGATGTGTACTTCACATAATGCAAAACCCACAAAAAAAGTTAAAAAAAATAATAAAATTGTTTAGACCCCGAACTAAAGTGAAAACAAAAAGTAAAAAGTGAAAAAAAAACATGGGCGAGCATGTTTTGACACCGCCATCTTTGACGATTTTTATTTCTTATTTAGCTGAGCCAAATGACTTGAAAATTTATAGGCATGTACCTCACGTCATAGAGAAGTCACAAAAAAAAGGTCACAAAACAAACATTATTTTTAGTTTCCGAAATAAGTTTTGGCGGGGGTCGAACGCCGTCGGGTTCGGACCCCGTACCGGACCCCGAACACCCGTATGTACGGAGGTCTGCCCAGGGACCTCCGTACGTACGGGCTGGTGACCCTGTGTATATATATATATATATATATATATATGAAACTCCGACGAAACAGTTTGTCACAGCCCCTCGTTTGTTGTTCTCTTCTCTCTCTCTGCCTATGGTTTACCGGGCAGTTTTGTTTGTGACGATATATATATATATATATGAGTGATAGTCTACTTTGATTTTGGTTAAGGTAGATTATCATTTACATTGTAATCAGTGAGGGGATTCTGCAGACTGTTGAGGGTTCAGCCTCCTGATGAGTCGGTGAAACTCCGACGAAACAGTTTGTCACAGCCCCTCGTTTGTTGTCCTCTTCTCTCTCTCTGCCTATGGTTTACCGGGCAGTTTTGTTTGTGACGATATATATATATATATATGAGTGATAGTCTACTTTGATTTTGGTTAAGGTAGATTATCATTTACATTGTAATCAGTGAGGGGATTCTGCAGACTGTTGAGGGTTCAGCCTCCTGAT